GTGGGGTTGCTAATGTCTACTGGACATATATCTGTAGTAATGTTCCCTAGAGGTTCCTGAAATGGAAACCAAAAATAAGCCTAATATTCCTGTCAATTATGCAATCATCATCTGTCTTAATTATATCTTTCTTTAGGAAACTAAAAACCATACATAGGTATGGTTTTCAATGCAAGCTATATGTTCCAGTGAGGAAATACTTTTATATTATGTTTAGAAACAGAATCATTTTGTTTAAACTTTTTTAATGTGTATATTCTAGATCAAGATGTTTCTTTCCATGGCATGCTTCTCCCATATGCAGAAAACAGATGTTAATCTACTGGAAAACTTATGATAACTTAAGTAGTTAGTAAGATGACCAGTTATATACAGACAGAGAACAGATATGGAGTGGTGGGGATGGGGTGAAGCTTAAAATGAAGGTGGTGAAGCAGTTACAGAACACAAGCTTATTAGGAAAAAAAGGCTTTAGTGGGTTTTTTACAAGGCAAGAATAGTACATTGTGACATAATTTTTCTCCCTGGGTATTTCCTCCCCTGCGATTTGAACAATCATTCAAGTAAGTCAAAGAAAGTATTATAAAGATGAACTTAGTGAGAACTCTTAGGCAGCACCTTGACATTTCATCTCTATTAAAGATAAAAACCACATACATCTACAGCTAAATATTGATACAGATTCCAGCTTAGGCCTTATGGTGCAGACTGCCAACCATGCAGAGTATCTTTTCTCTTCCTCTCTACTTAAGTAGGAGCTCTGGTGGCATAGTGCCTAAGGCATGTGACTGCTAACCAGAAGGCTAACAGTTCAAACCCACCAGGCACTCCTCGAAAGGAAGATTGGGCAATCTCCTCCTGTAGAGACACCACCTTGGAAACCCAACAAGGGGATGCTATGAGTCGAAATGACTCAATGGCAGTGAATTTAAAATGCCCTGGGTATGGGCCAGGCAATGGCTGCCCATAGGGAATTCCCGAACACTTGACTGTACTCATGAGGAACCTGTACCTTGACCAGGAGGCTGTCGTTTGAAAGGAACAAAGGGACACTACATGGTTTAAAATCAAGAAGGGAGTGCATCAGGGTTATATCCTTTCCCCATACTTATTCAATCTATATGCTGAGCAAATAATCCAAGAAGCTGGACTATATGAAGAAAACGTGGCATCAGGATTGGAGGAAGAATCATTAATATCGTGAGATATGCAGATGATACAACTTTGCTTGCTGCAAGTGAGGATGATTTGAGGCACTTGCTGATGAAGGTTGAAGAATACAGTCTGCAGTATGGATTACGTCTCAATATAAAGAAAACAAAAATCCTCACAACTGCACCAATGAGCAGCATCACAATAAATGGAGAGAAGACTAGGCACTACACTACCAGAGCTCCCCATTGTACTTTAGGGCATTTTTTAAATAAAAACCTAGCCCATATCCTAATATTGCCACTTACTTGTGCAACTTGGAGCAAATTATTTAATCTCTCTAAGCCTCAGCTTCCCTTATCTATAAAATGAAAATATAACACTTTTTACATATATACTTTTTCTTAAGGTGCAAAAAGAAATAAGTGAGTTCATAGATGCAACATGGTCAATTCAGTGCCTGACATACAGTAAAGTGCTCATTTATGGATAGATGAGCTCTGGTGGTGTAGTGGTTAAGGTATTTGCCTGCTAACCAGAAGGTTGGCCGTTAGAACCTACCAGTCACTCCATGGAAGAAAGAGTGGGCAGTCTGCTTCTGTAAAGATTTACAGTCTTGGAAACCCAATGGAGATCGCTATGGTTCAGAACTAGCTCGATGGTTTTCTTTTTTTGGTTTGGTACTAGAAAAGATGAAGGACTACTCAGGAGGCAGACTTCAAAGGCCTCTGATATCAAGTGGCTATTGTGCTCACAAAGCCCTATAGTTAGAAATGTAGATCTGCTTTTCAAAGAGTTTCTATCACTGAGTGTGGTGGAACCCCTGAGACTGTCCCTTAGAAACCCTAAGGGTCCTTAGAAACCCTTCAGGCCTGGAACTAAACCCATCCCCAGGAATCAACTTTTAGCCAAACAAATAGATAGGCCTATAAAAGTGAATAGTCACATCTGGGAGGAATGTATTCTTCAGTATTCTCAACTATATGAGACAAAACAGCAGCATTTGTCCAAAAACAAAGCTCAGGAAGCAAGAAGGGGCAAGAATGACGGACAAATGGAAACTGGGAACCCAGAGAGTAAGTAGGAATTGCAACCAATGTCATGAAATAAAATGCATATAATTTGTTGAATGGAAAATGAAGCAGTTCTACAAACTTTCACCCAAACCACAATAAAAAGTTAAAAAAAAAAAAAAAAGAAAATTTCTATCAGTAACAATGAATTCAGACAAAATTGGGCCTATCTTATATTTATCCCAAGTGAAGAATTAAGATGATTAAAAAAAAAAAAAAAAAGGATAGCTCACTGCCTAAATCTTCAAATATCCCTTTAAGTCTTATTTTATGTTATATAACTAAGTGTTGCACTTTTTTTTTATATTACTGTGATTTGGGTGACAGTTTACAGAGCAAATTCATTTTCCATACAGCAGCTCATATACACTTTGTCTCATGACATTGACTACAATTTCCCACAGTGCAACAGCTCCTCTCCTAATTCCTCCCTACAGATACCTCTTCCCTACGTCCTTCCCTCCCAGGCACTCCTGCCCCCCGAGCGGACTTCCCTGTGCATACCCAGACCTTCTATTCTCCCATGATTGATCTCTCCAAGGAGTGTATCTACCCAATGTAAATGTTCAGCTCATATGCCTGTCTTTTGTTTGTCTGGAAGCAATAGGAGTGGGTTTGATTCCAGACCTGCAGGGCAGCTAGGGGCCACAGTCTCAGGGGGTTCCACCAAGCTCTATCAGACCAGCAACCCTGGTCCCCCTGCCCCCCTTTTTTATGATTTTGAGTTTTGTTCCACATTGTTCTCCCACTCTATCCATGATCTCCTACCATAAATCCCCCTCCAAGTGGTTAAGTGGTTAACAATGGTAGCCAGGTACCATCTAGTTCCTCTGGTCTCATAGCCATATAGGCTGAGGAAGGCATGGTATACATCCCTAGGACTAATTGTTTCCATGCTTATTTGGTTTTCTTCATTCTTCTTTGCGCTGGACAAGGAGAGACCCATCGTGGTATCTACTTGGCCGCTTGCAAGCTTCTAAGATCCTGTCACTACTCGCCAAAGGAGGATGTGGAACAATGTTTTTGTGTAGTATGTTATGCCAATTGAGCTTGATGTCCCCTGAGATGATGGTCCCAAGCCCACGGGTCTAACTACTCACACCCTCTGGGTAGCTGGCTGTGGCCAAGAAGTGACTACAACCTTGTCCCTTTACAAATACACTTGCAGAAACATTGTCTGCCAACCCCCTATGGGCCCCTCCTCTCCTGCACAGACATACCTAACAGTTCAGCCTGTTTACCCATCTATTCACCCATAGATCAATATTTGCCTTCACTGACAATGCAGTACTGTATTACACAAACACTTTTGGTTATTGTTGGGTGCAGTCAAGTTGATTCCAACTCACAGCAACCTCATTTGACAGAGCAGAACTGCCCAGCAGGGTTTTCTTGGCTGTAATCTTTATGGAAGAAGATGGCCAGGTTTTTCTCCCATAAGGCCACTGGTGAGTTTGAACTGCTGACCTTTTGGTTAGCAGCCAATTTACCATTGCACCACCAGGACTAACTAGATATTTATTTAGGCTCAGCTGATTGAATCATGTTCCATGTTTATATAAAAAAGAGCTGGGTAGAAAGGTACATCAATTGATGCTACCAGATCACATCACAAGGGTAGGCTGAGAAAAAGACACATAAATGAACTGGAATCCTCTATTCTGGATACCGAGCTTGATGCACAGAGCTCTACAGTAAGTGGAGGTTATGGCCTCCTTTCCCTTCTGCATAGTTCCCCTCTTTGGTCAGTGCCTTTGCAAGTATCCTCTGACATTATTAACTGGTCCTCTGACATTCTGGTTTCATTTTTATCTTTTATTGCTGAGACACAGAGAATATGCTTACGATTTCTGTACCCAGAGATCTGCTGAACTGTGGGGTCTATATCCTTGACACCAAGCTAACAGGACTACTCTCACTCTACAAACTTCCCCAGGGCACTTATGTAGGTTTTACATGTCACAAGATGCAGAAAAGCCCTAAAAAGATTGCATGACCCAACTGAGGCCACCAGCTCTGAAATGGGGGCAAGGATCACATTATCAGGCTTAACTCTTTTCATATACCCTGATAATGTCTCACTATTATGAGATGTAGGTTACTATAGTGATGACAGGCTGAACCAGACAGACATGATAAAAGATGTTGCGTAACCTATTTTATGATCGTTTATCTCATCAAAATGAGATTGAGATAATGTTTTGTATCCTACTTGAGGAAAACATCATATGGCCAATAAAAATATTCAGAAAATCAGAGTGGTCTCTGCCTCTTCTTAGGGATCTAGGGTGACACAACAGACTTGATATAGGGGAACCTGCAGAATGGAGTCCCTGGGTGGTGCAAAGAGTTAAAGAAAGCATGTGGCTGATAACTGCAAAGTTGGAGGCCTGAGACCAACCAGAGGTGCCTCAGAAGAAAGGCCTGGCAATATACTCTGAAAAATCAGCCATTGAAAACATTATGGAGCACAGTTCTACACTGACACACACGGAGTCACCATAAGTTAGAGTCAATTTGGCGATAACTGGTTTGGTGATTTTATCACGTAGAATCTAAGCCTTAAGACTGAGGCCAAAGCTCTGGAGACATATCCAATTAGAAGCAAATATAAGTATCTGCACACATAAACACAGGAAGAAAAAAACTACTGTAGTACATCGGTCTCAAGAAGAACCCAAGGCTTTAGAGCAATAGCAAAAATCATTTCATTAAGGAAGCAACAAAAAACTCAGGACCTTTTTTCTTGTTGTACTTCCCTGAATTGTTACTTACGGGTTCCCGGCCATCCATGGCTTCCATCCAGAGTCTCCGGTCCTCTTCCGACAGTGCCTGCATGGTGATAACCCCCGGCCTGTGGAGAGAGAAGGATATAAGCTCGGTGCCATAGGTACTGATGAGATACTGGTGCAGGAGGAGAACCTAAAAAGAAACAACCACTCAGCAGAGTGAGAGTTTCCTGGGGTTAAAAACACCAAGAGAGACACAACACTCAGCTTCTCTGAGCTTCCATTAAGTCTCAGAAAATAAACCACCTCACCAAATCCCCCTCAAGAAGCTATCACCCTACTCTGCAGTTAAGGGAAACGGTTAAGAGTTATCCCTTTAGATTTTGTTCATTCCTTGAAATTTGATTCATTTCTATTCCCTCAAACGCTTAACAAGGTATTCTACTCACTAGAGAAGTGCAATAAATATTTACTGATGTGAATGCAATTGTTGAACTCAAAATAAAAAAAGGGCTGTGGAACTAGGAAGAGTTGGTGGTTGCACACAACATTGTGAATGTACTAAATGCCACTAGATCGTTCACTTTAAAATAGTTAGTTTTATGTGAATTTAACCACATTTTTTTAAAATTATCTTAAAGATAAAAAGAGAAGAAAATATCCAAACTGGAAGGATCCCTGTCTCCTAATACCTAGTTCAATGCCTCCAAAATACTTTTATCATGGAGGAGTTTTATAGAGTTAATTGGCTTTGTAATTATGATTAAAAGTGTGCATATGCATGTATAAAACCACTGTCACGGAGTCATTTCCAACTCACAGCAGGCCTGTAGGGCATAGAAGATCTGTACATAGGGTTCCCAAGGGTAAATCTCTAGAGATGCAGACTGCCACAGCTTTCTCTCATAGACTGGCTGTTGTGTTCGAACTGATGACCTTTACAGTTAGCAGTGAAGCACTTAAACACTGTACCACCAAGGTTCCTGTGTGTACATGTGTGTATATGTATACGTGGTGTGTTGTGTGTACATTATTTACATATAAAATTTACGTGTGTGTGTGTTTGTACATATATATGTTTTCTTAAATGAATACTTTCTATGTCGAATGCTGTGCTAATGCATGTAAAATGCATTAACTCTTTTCATTCTCTCACTGAAATTTGCTTGCTGGTTAAAACTGAATGCAAACCCTCCAGAAAGCATATACATAATATGAAATATTTGCCAAGTTCCCATTACAGATGGCACTCCATGAAAGACAGAGACTTGTGCCAAAAAAATGACCTTGGGAGAAGAGCTATAAACCCTTTGTGTTCATTAAAGCAGGAGCTCTTAACTTAAGGTTAGGAGTTGGACCTCAGAGAGGCCACAAACCATCTTCCCCACTCCCTAAATGTATATGCATTTGTCTGTAGAAACAATGCAAACTGCCCATCAGATTCTCAAAGAGAACTGCAACCCTCAAAAGGTTAAGAATGGTTTATTTAAACCAATGTCTTACAAATCTAAGAAAGTCTACAAGGGAGAAAGAGATCCACTGAGCCATAACCTCCACTTACTGTAGAGCTCTGCGCATCAAGCTCAGTATCCAGAATAGAGGATTCCAGTTCATTTATGTGTCTTTTTCTCAGCCTACCCTTGTGAGGTGATACGGTAGCATCAATTGATGTACCTTTCTACCCAGCTCTTCTTTATATAAACGTGGGACATGATTCTACATGACTAAAGTCCCATTATCTTGTAAGTCTACAGGTAGTGTTCATGACCATAGACCAACACAGTATTGAAACTCACAGCTTGACAACACCCTAAGCAGGACACCCCTAGGCCCCACAAACACTCACATCTGTTAATTCTCATCCCTAATAATTAATCACTGCCTCTGACTTATTTCCACAGTCCCAACGTGCATACTACACTTATTTATGTTTGTTGTTGTTGTTGTTGCTGTCATGTGCCATGAGTCAGACCCGATTCATAGTGACCCCTCCTTCAGTTTCCAAGGCAGTATCACTACGGAAGTAGATTGCCCCATCTTCCTTCTGAGGAGTGGCTGGTGGGTTTGAACCGCCAGCCTTCTGGTTAGCAGTCAAGTGCCCTAGGCACTACGCTACCAGACCTCCCAAAATTGATTTGACAACACCCAACAACATACACATTGTTGTTATTGTTGTGTGCGTCGAGTCAGCCCCGAGGCAGTACTGGCCCCAAAGCAGTATCACCAGAGAAGTAGATTGCCCCATCTTCCTTCCGAGGAGTGGCTGGTGGGTTTGAACTGCCAGCTTTCTGGTTAGCAGTCAAGTGCCTCAGGCACTACACTACCAGAGCTCCCTATTTATGTTTACAGTATCTTAAAAATCACAGCAGCTTTTTACTGATCATCCCTCAACCTCACTTAAAGAAATAGTTTTCAAAGATGTACGCATGTAAGTGCATGGGGATTAGGAATATGGACATTGGGGAGGGATGCGATCATGCAAGGATATGAACAAATGTGTATAAAAGTGTGTGTGTGTGTGTGTGCACGTGTGCACACATGCACTAGGAGAGACAGAGAGAGAGATGGAGAGATAAAGACAGAGAGAAACAGAGATTGACTGATTACAATTAATTGGTTGTCAGAAAGTGGCATCACTAAGAGGGTGTGGACCATACTAGGTGACATTGTCAGAAGGGTTGACACCAAAATTACTGTCTATAAAATTTTCCTGCAATATTTCAGCAGAAAGCTATTATTTTTTATTTTAAAAAAAATCCCTGTAGTTAGTTATAACAACAAAAACATTTGTCATAAGCCCAGCTTACATGTATCAACATACATAACACAGCTAAAACGCTATCCTAATTTACTCTTTGACCCCTCTAATGTGCTCCAATCAGAGCTTTCATTATTACCCCATCACAATGACTACTCAAATCACATTGTTTTGGTTGCATGTGCACACACACTATTGTTTCGCTGCTGTCAGTGTTATTATAGTCTCTGATTTTTTCCAATTTTCTGGTGTTTTACCTACAATATTGTAATGATTAATATTTGTAATATAGTAATGAACCTATACCAATAATATTTTTGATATTAAGTAACAATCAAAGGAAAAGGAGAAAAATCAAAAAAGGCTTCTGCTTAATTACTAATAATATTCTAATTAATAATGTAATTCAATGTAGAAAGATTTTATAAAAACAATTTTGTTGTGGGTATTCATATAATCTAAGAATTCCATGTAAGCAATTTATAACTATATTTATCACATATTCTATGATTAAACTTGATAATAAACATTACTAAAGATTCAGTATGGTCTGGTACAGGAGGAGGTCCATGGGGGGTTGGGGGTAGAATGACAGCATAATGAGTTACCTCACTGGGTGATACCAACCCTAGTGACTATACTGCTTGGACAGTCAGATAGTATTTCTGAGCTTCAGGTTCTTACAGGTAAAATGGAAGATGGGATGGGGCTTTGCTCTTAAGGAAGTATGTGTACATAGGGGTGGGGGGTGAGAAGAGGCAGAAGGAGGGAGGGAGAGAGAGAGGAGGAGAAAAGGCAGTAAGCAGGTGGACTGGTTAAGTGTGTTGAGGATGAAAAACAGGCAGCAGGAAGGACATTAATTCCCAAGAGGGCTGTCATTCCTGTGAATGCCACAATGGACACTGGTACCATGACACAAAGATGTCTCAGAAGATACAATAACTCTTCTCTCTCCAAGCACCTGCCAGAGTTCTTTCCTCTTCTTCCCAGATATTCTCACTCTCAGACCCAAGTGCCCATTTCACATCATCTGTCATTGAGTGTGCCAGACTCACTGGGTGTCCACAGACTCTGTGCTGGCAGCTGCAGCTCCACAGATCTGACCCTGTGACCTGGAGGCCCAATGTATCAATTCTGCCCTTTCACCTTTCAAAGAGCCAAACACAAAGTTTTAACAACTCTGAAACAAAAAAGTCTATGAAGCTATCATCCAATGTAGAATTCTCAATTCCCTGGTCCTGGATCTTTGATCACTGTTCCAATACTTGTATGTACCTGGATACCTAAACAACACATCAGAATCAGGTACATCCTTAAAATGGAGATCCCCAGCCCAATCTCACCCACTGGATCTGAACATCTGGGTTGGGCCTGAGAACATGGATTTTAACCAACTCCCCAGTTAGTCCTGATGTACAGTTAAGTTTAAGGTCCACTGCCCTGGGCTGCCCATTTCCCCACCCTTTTCCTTCCTGCTCCCCCTGCACTGGAAAGCAAAGATACTCTCCCTAACACTGCACTCAAATACCTACGTATCTCCAGTTCATTTCCTGCTAGTGTTCACCAGAGAAAAGTGAGACCACAATAGCTGCCCAACATACCAAGGTCTCAGGGACTCACAGATGTCACATCAACTTCATGGGGCATAGTGTGAAATTTCCAACCAGATCACACAGGGGAGGTTCTGATAAACTCAGAGGGTGTGAAGGGTGTGCTATTTGGCCTTGGTAGCCAGAAAAGTCAACAGGATTTGTTTCATTTAACAAATAAATGTCAAAATACAAATTATTTTCCACATGTGGTTTTCTTTGTCATCTTTTTTTGGAGGTTGGATGGCAGCAAGAAAAACAATGAGTAAACTGGATTTAACACATTTAGTTCTTATCTTATCATCTCCCAATTTACAAAATTTTCTCTCAGCCTCATGTATGTGCATCTAGATCACAGGACTAGCCTTTCTGAAAACCTGGAAAATACTAATTCAGTTCCAAGTTTCTTTTCCTTCGTCACAGTTTAAAACCACTGTTACACAAATCTCTTAATTCTGTTTGAATTTCCTACAACCAAGGTATATGGGCTGATTTTCCTTATTTTAGAATCAAGAGATAATTTTCCTTCTATTATTTATACCCATGATGCCCCTATTGACTACTATCTGATAAAACAAGCAAAACCTCCAATGACCTTGCACTTTTAATACCAGTCTCTGGAAGACAGCACACTAACACTCTCCTTGAATGGACAGCATTGAAAAGGCCAACAATATCAAGTTCTAACAAGAAAGCAGAACAAGTAGAACTTTCATATACTGCTGTTGGGAAAATAAATTTGTAAAACCACTTTGGCAATATCATATCTACTAAAGCC